CTAATTCTTCAATAATAATTTTGTGTATCATAACTATTACGTATTTTTCAAGTTTGATCCAAGAGCGGTAGATGAAATATTCACCATCTGGGTAAAGCAAAACAAATCCTGTCAGACAACAAAGGGAAATTACATCCAGAATTAAAATTTCATATATTCCTGTATTATCGATAGATTAAGGATAATAGTTAATAAATTTAGCATTAGAACAGTTTTTCAGGCAACTAATACTTGACGAACTTAGTGACCAAAAAATAATTTTCAAAATTCATAAAATTGCATTTATAGTAGGTACACCTAGTGAATGCAATGTGGGGAGATTTTTTTATCTGTAAACATTAGATTAGAGGAGCACAAGGTCTACATTATAGAACCAGATTTTGAGAAATCAAAAATTTACTACCACGCTTGTAAAAACAGTTTGTAGTTCAAAATTCGGCCAAAGTTTTGGAAAAGAGAAAAAATACCATTAGAAGAAAATTAAAAGAGACCGCGATTATTTTGTTGAAGGGTGATGGATGTGTTTTAAATTATTCTATAAAGTTGCTTCTTTGTTGGCTCAAATTGAAAAAGGTAAAGCATATGATAACACAGCCCCACAAAAAAAAGTATCGGATCTGGTATTTCCTATGTATTCCTATGTATTTTTTCCGCTGAATCCGAATCTGCCTTCAGATTTGGCCCAACGGGTCTGAGTTTTCGGGAAAACTCAAAAAACAGGTCAAAATTCACAAAAAACGTCATTTACGATCGACGAAAGTTATAAAATATCAAATTATTCTACCAGCTCCCTAGACGTATGATTTTTCACTCGTTTAATTTCAATTTATCATCGTAGAGTCAGACAAACTGGTCCAATTTCATTCAAAACAAGAAAATAGATCAAAAACGCCATTTTCATGGCATAATTCGTGTTGCAGAGTTCTGGTTCCATCTTTTTATCCACCCACCCATTTATGAATTCATACATCCTTCTAACATCCATCTGTACCACCTATAAAACCCACCCATCTATCCATCTACTTTTTGTGCTGAGAGATGAGATAACAGTCTAGAAGATTGAGAATGCAATAAAACTTGTAGAATACTCTACTTTCTAAACAAAAGAAAACGATATCTACAAATCATTCTTATTTTTGTTGCTAAACGTGTTCACTTTTCTTCAAAGGATCTATGCAAAGGGTTACGTTTTCGTGTATTCGTTTTATTTCTCTTTTCTCTTTTTAAGAACCAATCTGAAGGCAGATTCGGATTCAGCGGAAAAAAATACATGGAAATACATGGGTCTGAATACGAGATCCGATACTTTTTTTTTGTGGGGCTGTGTAATAGAATAAATCATGATGTCTCTAACTATGGACACAGGCAAAAAAAAAACAAATTTAAACCTTCAAAAGTAACTAAAAACGAAAAACAGATACGGTTTTCAAAAGGTTAACGATTTTTTCAATGTAGTTACGTCTATTTTGTGTTTTGTATTTGTCCGTCTTTTAAGGGTGATATATTTTATTAGGCCAAACTATTTTTATAAGGATAACCCCTAACTGATCCTTTTGGGGCAACAGTTTATTTCATTAACTTTTAAAATTTTTAACAGGTGGTAAAATATATTGAATAAATTACAGGCATAGTATTATTTTCTTATACAGGGTGATTCCGGTTTAATCTGGATAAGTAGAACAGGTTAAAATAGTATTCATTCATGATATAAACTTATTTCCAAAATCGCATCGTTGCGAGGGCGTTGAAGTAGGAATTTTCTTCCCTTTTCTTTGCACTAAAAATGCTTTTGAAATAATACTTTTAACGATGATTTTCACAAACGTCAGTTTATACAAATCATTGTGAGTTTTGTTTTCATGGGTTGCTATAACGTTAAATGAAATTTACGCGGTTGGGGCGCTACACTGTCACGAATTTCATTGATTATCTCAGAAACAAGGCCAAATATCGAAAAAAAAAAACAAGAGACGGATAAGCTTCAATATTAATGAGACAGAAGTGATGTGCAGCTGTTTTATTTAAATTAATTAATTTTTTCGAAGTTTTGAAATAATGTAGGAGGGGGGGAGGCACACAAAATACACTTCTAAGTGGGGTAGGTGGTTCAGACTTAAGATGCTTATGTAAGATCATAAGGAGTGTTTGCATTTCAAATTTCACCTCAATCGGATGAGTGGTTCAAAAGTTATGATGGAAAAGCGAGAAAAAATCTGTTCAACGCCTTCCGTCTCCGAATGAACATTATTTTAACCTGTTCTATCGATTCCTGAAGTTATCCAGATTAAACCTGAATCACCTTGTATATCTACGCGGTGGTGTCGTACTTTGATTTTTTATTTGTTTTGTTTGTTATAAGTTTGCATTTTAATTTTATTTAAATATAACCAATGAGTATCTACAGGGCGTTTTTAAATGAGGTAGCAAAAATGGTAGCAGTGAATGTAGAGCCAAAAATAAGAGGATTGAAGTAAAAATACCTTATATGAAAGTTACACCCCTGAGGCGATATACCCTCTTAAAGGAGGGGATTGAAATTCACATTTTAATTTTTTTCTTCAACATGGGGAGTGCTAGAGACACGAAATTTAGTATGAGCATCCTACTAATAAAGAGACAACTTTTCAATATTTTTTCGATCATTGGCGTATTTTATAAAGGAGTGAAACAGTCAACTCCATTGCAATATTTTATTAAAACTTTTTTGTATGACGCAATTTATTTATTTAAAAATATTTATTGGGAAGACTGATTTATTGCGCAACTTTTTTACCTCTTATAATTTTTCGATAAAACCGATAGTTTTCTAGTAAAAAAATTTGATGCGTCAACGTTCACTAAAGGGATAATTGCGAAAATTTGTAAAAATAAAGTAGGCGGATGTCATAACAAATAAATTGTTATCATATTAATAAATTGACACTTTCTGTCAATAAGCTGGTAATTTAATAATAAAATTAAGAATAATTTGCTATTAATTAATGAAAAATGTTTAATAACTTATGACTATGGGACATGTATTAGGTAAAGTTATTTAACTGAAATAAAATTTAATACAAACGAAAAACAAGAAATACAAAATTAAATTTAAAGAATATTCTCGAATTAATTTTCATTTTGCTGCAAGCATAACCTAATACGTCTGTTGAAGTTATAACGCACTCGCACAAACAGTTCTTGGTTATTGCGAAGGTCATCTGCTGCCTGAAATATTCTTAAACGTAGTTCTTCTAAGGAGGCAACGGGAGTGGCATAAACAATACTTTTTATGTGTTCCCACAAAAAGAAATCCATAGGGGTTAGGTCAGGTGAACGTGCAGGCCAACAAACAGGGGCATCACGACCACAACCAATTCAGTGATTCGGGTAATTTATATTTAACCATTCTCTAACGGCAAGTGTATTATGTGCAGGCGCCCCATCGTGCATATACCACATCACCTGGCGTAGCAAGGGGTTCATCCTCAAGTAATGTTGGAAGATTTTCGTTCAAAAAAAAGATACTCGGCCGCTCCAAGCCTGTGTGGAATTTCCTATAATTCCCATCCAAACGTTTAAACTGAAATTATGTCGACATCTTGAAATAAATATTTCATGAGTATTTTCTTCCGACCATGAATGAACATTATGAAGATTTAGTGCATCTACTCTAGGAAAATTTGCTTCATCGGTGAAAAGTATATTCATTAGGAAATTTAAGTCATGCCTGGAAATATTAATGTACCATTGACAAAAATCCACGTTGTTTGGTAAATCAGGGTCATTCAATTCTTGCACGGGTTGATGGTGAAAAGGGTATAAAATATTTTCATGAGCTACATTCCACACAAGACTTTGAGAAACTTGCAGTTGCCTGGACACCTGTCTTGTGCTTGTACCACAGTCTTGTTCTAGATGTTCCAGTAAAGCTTCCTCAGTTTCAACAGTTCGGACATTACGCCTTCTTCCGGCACCCTCACGATTGAGGTAAATTTTACCAGTTTCGCGAAGCCTTCTTTTCACCGAGGCCAATGTTTGTCTATGAGGAATCGGTCGGTTTGGATATCTTTGGAGGTATAATGTTACTGCAGCGTTACTAGTTTTTCTGGATTCGAAAAACACTTGGAGCATGTCGACATATTCGTTATTGGTATAAATATTGTTCTGATAATAAATTAATTAATTGATACTAATTATTGGTTGACAGAAGTGTCAATTTATTAATATGATATACAATTTATTTGTTATTGCATCCGCCTACTTTATTTTTACAAATTTTCGCAATTACCCCTTTAGTGAACGATGACGCATCTAATTTTTTTACTAGAAAACTCGGTTTTACCGAAAAATTACAAGGGGTAAAAAAGTTGCGCAATAAATCAGTCTTCCCAATAAATTTTGCTTCATATAAAAATTTTCTAATAAAATATTGCAATGAGATTGACTGTTTCATTCCTTTATAAAATACGCCAATGATCGAAAAAATATTGAAAAGTTGTCTCTTTATTAGTAGCATGCTCATACCAAGTTTCGTGACTCTAGCATTCCCCATGTTAAAGGTATTTTTACTTCAATCCTCTTATTTTTGACTCTACATTCACTGGTATCATTTTTGCTACTTCATTTAAAAACACCCTGTATATTAGATATAAACTTATTCCACTTTTAAATTCCATTAAATGTGCTACAAAAAAGTTTCTAAAATATTGCTCCATTAAAAGTATGTGTACAAATGCGTCTGCATCCGAAAAATATTTCTATAGTACTCCAGGATAACTAATATAAGACTTTATTTAATTTTGTGGTGGTAAACCTCGTCTCTAAACATTGCGCCGTTCTATTTCTGTTTCCATATTACACACTCATGTTTAACACTGATTAATTCATCATTAAATATATCATTTTACGTCACCCCGCGTTCGCGTCCCGACATCATTGATCCCCTTAAATATTAATCACCGTAATTTTGTGTTTCATAACTTAAGTGTAAATATTGTTAATAATAAATGATGTCAACTTACCGACGGATTGGGCATACATCGGCGTGCCATTGGCTCGGGACTCCGGTACGTCGGGGAATACCTTCCTGCGAAACAAGCACCAGAAGACGTTATGGGCCCGTGAAGACCTGTTGGGCCCTTGGACCCCATCATTTTGTCTGGCGAATACATAACTACTACCAATTTGTCTTTACCTCAGTTCACTAAACATTATGTCTCTACGATCCTAACAGTTTCGGGATACCTAACTTGAGCGAGGGGTTCGTGGTATTTTTTGCGTTTATTTACATAATTCTTCAAACGTGAAAATTGTTCGTCGGAACTATACCAAAGTTTTGTAAATTTTTAAGAATCCGTAACCTTAAACATAGATCACGAAACGTCGCCGATCCTTATCACAATGGTTTATTAATTGTTGTTTTTTAAATTGAACAGAACACGTTATCTCAGATATTATTCACCCCAAAAGGTCTAAGGGTTGACTGAAAAGCAAACTATCGTCTGCCATTGGAGTTTTGTCGAGTTAGGGGGGTTGGCGCTTTGCGCATGACTGTCGTCCCGACGCCCGCCTCTACTTCTCTATCTGAAGCCGCATTCGCCTCTAACAAATTAGTGGCATTTTGATGGTGTATAGATTTTTGAATTGTTACCAAAGGGGTAAATAATCGGTTTTACATGTTTAGAGAAATTGTCGATTGATGACTTACATACATATTTATGCGTCATAAGTGGCATGTGTTTATATATATGTTCATTTATGGATTATAACATTTAGTTGCGGTGCCTAATTATATACTCGTAAATGTAAATAAATGCTGGACAAACACAACGGATTGAAAGACCAATATAAAAATAAGTGTTATTATAGAATTCCTATTATCCGTGTTATTTACTTATTTCTTTTAACTATTGATTAAAATTCTTCATCTCCCGCGCTTTTGAAAATCCATTCTTATAACTCAATCAGAATACATTAAATATTCACAATGTTACAGAAACCAGGATCGGATTTAGCTAGCATCACCGTGAAATACAGAGTGTCCAGGAAATAGTGGACAAATTCTCGGATTTGGGTAGTAGGGGCAAAAGTTGGGCGTTGAGAATAGATTTTTCGTTATAACTTTGTTGTATTTCATTAAAATTCAATTTTTTTCATTAACCATATTGTTTTTTTTTGCGACAAAAATCAGTTTTTCCTATATATTGGAAAAACTATTAATATTAGAGAAAATTATTCAAGAGACGAAATATGCGCAATAAAAAGACCTACAAAATGTCGCCTGATAGATTAAAATCAGATAAATTGTTTAAAAGTTATTCAAAAAAACATAAAAAAGTGGAAAAACAGCATTTTTTTATCCATAACTTGATTGTTATTTGCTGGATTTTATAAATGTGCCTAAAAGTTGTGTTTTATTGTTATTCAAATCTGTGCGAAAGATGGGCTCTGTGGGCCCTATAGTTACATAAAAAAAAAATGTTGCTACGCCCTTTTGGAGCCGAGTTAGACTTTTTTTTTTAAATCACAGGCCTCTGTAAAAATCAAAAGGCCCTTTGCAATAAATCAAAATTCCATTTAAATACAAAGCAAAGTTAGGTTTTAAGCTTTAAAAATCGACTTTCTAAATCCTTTTTTGTTAATAACTTTCAGAGAGACAGACGGTTAAAGTTATGAAAGTTGACGGAATAAATAAATAGAATTTTGCAAAACCTATTCGGCCCACAGCTCCAATCTTTAGCACAGTTTTGAAGAACAATAAAACACAAGTTTTACACATATTTATAAAATTCCAAGAAATAACAGTCAAGTTTTGGATAATTAAAAGAATATTGTTTTCCTTTTTTATGTTTATTTGCAATAACTTTTAAATAATTTATCCGATTTTAATTTATCATTTTATAGGTCTTGTTATTGCGCATATTTCGTCCGGTGAACACTTTTCTCTAAAATCAATAGTTTATCCAATACATTGGAAAAACTGATTTTCGTCAATTCATTGATGTTCAAAAATTATAGTGACGCGACCATTTCCTTCACTTTATCGATGTTTTCTTCAGTTGAAGACGTTGACGTACGACCGGAACATGGCAAATAATCAACGACTTCTCGATCATGTTTGAATGCTTTCATGAGCTTGAGTTTTCGATAGATTGAAGAAGGCATCGTCAATAAGTTGAAAATGTCAAAAAGTAGGTATATTTCAGCACGAACTAGTGGCACCTCAAGATCATTCAGAAAAGCAGATAATCATAATTTTCAGATTAATTTCCGAGATACAGTGTTTAAATTTTAATTTTTTATTTATTTTTATTAATTATTTCAGTGTTTTAAAGATATTGACTCGAAATTTGAAAAACGCTTTGGAGGGATAAATGTACATTTTTTGGGATGATTCGAGTATTTCTACTTGCACCAGTGGCGTTCGTGCGAGAATGCCACAACCCTTTTTAATAAAAAAAGGTAAGCCACTGACTTTTTCCCGTTTCGATATTTTTTTAGGAATCCGCCATCAATTCTGAATGAAATTGGTCGTATCAATTTTTTTCGTAGGATGCACCGTTTGTGAGGAAAAAATTAAACATTTATATTAATTTCTATTGATAGGTACATTATCTAGTAGACTGCTGTCAATATTTCTAAATAAATAAATATGATAAATGTGATGATTTGAAAAGTACGATCAGAGCAAATTTCTTCCGAAAAGATTAGAACTATCCAAAATGCATTTGGTCACCATCAAAGCTGGGTAAAGCCGATTAATGCAATGTGTTCATGTACAATATTTGTGGTTCAATGTGATATTGTACTGCTTTTAATTTTTTCAGGGGTTATACTCTATCTTTATTAGATCATTATTAATTAATTGTCGATTCAAAGTTGAAATAATAACTTCATTTCAAAAGTAATTTAATTGGTAATGCACACGAAATGTCTTCAACAATACTCACAGATTATACTTTCTGCTTTATGGGCCTTCAAATAAAAAATTACAGGAATTTAAGTCGGGTGAACGTGGTGGCCAGTGAATTCAAGCATTTGCTACATTTAAATGTTCTCTTACATTGCGACTAGATGCTATGATCCTCCGCCATGCATAAAATACATGTGATTACATAGATTATCTGGTAGATCGTCAAACACTTTGCAGCAGAGTATTCTTCAGAAAATCTAAATAACCCTTGCTATCAGACAATTCGTTCCTGAAAGGAATTTTCTTGTGGAAGTTTATATCTCCAGCTCTGGTGAATAATCTGCGAGAATTGAAGACAAGCCGTAAAAGTTTTTGCACTAAATGAACATGAAAAGGATTCATTGCAAACTCTTGGAAACTATAGTCTCTGCACTAATCTGACACCGGTTGCTTGGTTCTCTTTCATTTCCAAAATTGCTTCTTCCACAGTGGGTGGTCGAGTTTGAAGAGGACATCCTGCATTACCCCGTTAATTTTGAACTGACCACATCTTTCAATATTTCTAAAAGTTTGATGATTTGGGATTACACAAAACCTTAGCACTAATAACATATCGGTTTGTTTGTACCTATTGTTCATCTTAGAATGAAAAAATGACAAGTAAATTTTCGCAGCAAAGTATTTGTAGTACAAAAAGTAATATGTGTGTGTAGGTTTGTCTAAATAATCAGAATTTTAGGTAGATAGTTTTAAAAACATATATTATGAAGAGGGCTCCCTCTGGCGGAATAATATCGGGGAGGAAAATATTTCAATGAACATAAAATTTCCAAAAGCTCGTAGGTAGCGGTAAGTTATTATTTTTATAAGAAAGAGCGTTCCCCCACATGTCTATTTTACACGAAACTGTGTTCAGCAATCTTAACACAAGTGCATGTGTACATGACAATAAAATAAATATATGGGGGAACTCCCTTTGATCCTGTGGCACTTTGGGGAGTCGCGAGACTTTCTACTGACTCCCAGCAGACGTTGACTTCGCACAGACCAACTAAAGTTCATCTCTATTGGACGATTTCTATATGAAATGCCATGGGAAAATACGCTTCTTAGAATTTCGAACAATGTTTCCTTGTACCGATATGGAAATAAGTATGAAATAAAAATAAATGTTATATGTCACTTTATACTATTACTTATATACAACATTATCTTCATACACAGGAGACAAAATAGCTGTCTATTAGAGTACATTGGAAACAATTTTTGTTACTCTTTGTTAAAAAATAATTATTTAGTATTTTAATAAGTTTGTTAATGCTGTAGATATGCTATAAAGCCATTTATCCGCAATGACCTCATAATCGGACTTTTATCCAAACATATGAACCGTCTAAAGTGATACTTTATCCACTAGTGGAATAAAGTAACTTTATTTCACTAGTAGAATAACGAAGAAGAAAAGAAATATCAAGTCGTGCGAATATACATATTTTTATTAAATTCCAATAATTATTAAATTAAATTAATTAAATAATAACTAGTATACTTAAGGGAAAATCCAAACAAAAATAATATGCTCTACTAAATGTCATCAACGTTTATGGTCGTCTAAGTTGGACATTGGAAAATTTTATGGTTCTTCGAATTAGGTATTGAAAAAAGATATCCATTACAAAAAGGCAGGCTTATTGTCATGTTGAAATAGGTATGTCTTTGGATCTACTAAATCGACAAATATGTTTATCGAGTCCCAGAGATTCAAACCTAAAGTAACGTAACGTATTATGAGTCGAAGAACATCCTCATATTATTTGTCCAACCTCATTTCAGCAATAGTTTAGTTGTAATATCTGGTTAGGAGTTACACTCACAGATTAAATTCACAGAAGTTCCATAATTTCCTTGAAGAAGATTTAAATACTTTACTCGACGACTTACCATTACTTCTAAAAAGAAATAAGTGGATTCCGATGGATGGCGCTCCGGCTCATTATGGTCTTCAAATTAGGCAGTGGCTCGGGGAGCACTATCCACGTTGTTGGATCGGGCGTATTTTGGAAATGAATCATGCAGAATCTGGTCTCGGTCCCATTGCTTGACCGCCACTATCGCCAGATCTAAATCCCATGGATTATTTCGTTTTGGGATTTATTAAAGAAAAGATGTATACATGCAGTTCACCAGTCTGTACTCTTGAAATGTTAAGAAGAAGAATTGAAAATAATTATGAAACTCTTA